TTAAAAAGTATTTTTAACTTATTTAAGTTATTTTCTCCGATAAATAAACACTGTAAAATTCATATTTTTTATATATATACGCCCCCCTCCCCAATGTCTCCCTAATTCTGAGGTTTCAAGGTTGGTTCAGCGTGGTTAGTGACTGTCTCTCTGTAACCTGCTCCAGTGGGTGTGTCAGTTCTGCACATATCTGAACTACTCTCCGGCTATGGTGTGTGAGATGTGTGACCTGGCTCGCCCAGAGCCTGCACCGCTGCCAGTGAGGCTCCGCCCTCCCTCTCCTGTTAGACGTGTCCCTGCTCTGCCCATCAAACCGAAGGAACCTGCTCCTGAAGATCTGGACTCCTGGAGGCAGAATTTGATAAAGGAGGAGGGGCTAAAGCTGATTCAACTAATCAGAGCAAGTCACCGTACTGTCATTATATCATATACAGAATTCTTTTCATGTCTTAACACGAGTTCGTTTGTTCTTCATATCTGCGTCAGCACGGGGAGAAGAAAGGAGTGAGTCCAGAGGAAGTATACACAAGCATGAGGGTAGCTGGGGACAGCAACATCCTGCCCTGCAAGTGGTTAAAGACTGAACTTCCCCTGCTGTTGGACCAGATCAGGATGTTGGTGGCGACGTCCTCCCTTCAGTCATTCTCTGATAAGACCCCAACTGAAGACAAAGTCAGTAACCTCCTGTTAAACCTGACAAATCGCTCTGACTATAGTTCTGTTTTCTGAAAGTGAAACTGTCCTGCTGCACAGAATAACATAACACAGGATCTGGCCACGGAGGCTGGCGAAGTGGTCGATCCTGCAGAAACAGAAAGTGTGATCCAGCTTTCCAGAGCAGAAGCTAAGCTAGCCTGGCTCACAGCAGGGGGCGACACAGAGAGAGCTGCCAGACAAGCTCTGAGAGATAGACTCGCCAAGGTGATGTTTGGGCAAACGTTTAGCATTGTTCCCTGTGTAGACATTCAGTTATATTTCTTCATTCTATCCTATCAGGTAAAGGAGCTGTGTGCGCTCGGCTTTAGTGACGAAAGTCGCTGTCATGAGGTTTTACGGCAGAGTGGCGGTGAGGTAAGAGGAGCCTTGGCGTTGCTACAACGACCACTTCTGGAGCCCTTCCACAAACGCATCTGGAGTGAGAAACCTGAGCCTCCTGTCGACATCCACCATCCTGACAAGCAGGTAAAACCACGCTGGGGCCAGTTTAAAGCCCAGACCTTTAGTTTGTGGCCACATTTTTATTTTGGAATCTGTAGGTTTTTTCCAAATGGGTCATCCTCATTTCTTTATATTTGCTTCCAAGGAGTCGGGATTTCTTGGCATTTTCTAAAGTGGTCATTGTCTTTCTGATTTAAAGGTTTTCTTTGGACATTTTCAGTCCTGTCCTTGTTCTTGACCATTTTCAGTGTTAAGGTCCAGTTCAGTTCACTTTCATTTATATAGCTCCAAATCACAACATTTGCCTCAAGGTGCTTTATATTGTTAGCCAAAGACCCTACAGTAATACAGAGAGAACCCTCTATGAGGAGTGCTTGGTGACAGTGGGAAGGAAAAACTCTACAGCGTTATTTTTGTGTCTCTATTGTGAGCGCATGTATAAAAACAATGCAAGTGCAAATGTTGTATTTTGAGGAGAAAATTATTTTCAGTGCAGAAAAGTTCAATTCGAGCGAACAAAATTAATTTCTGCCTGCAAGAAATGAATTTTGCTTTTATCCACACACACACAGTAACAGCCCCTCACACTCAGATCTCTGCTCTGTGCTCACAGACATCTGCAGACCTGCTCTCAGTGTTTCGCTCTCACTCTCAAATAGTGACGTGCGAATCATGAACGAATCGTTCAATACTCGAGAATCACTTTACTGACTC